AGAAGAGTGAGGATGGAAGGAAACACAAGGTACAACTTGCAAACACTGTCGCATCATTGTATAGCATGTGACATTCCCATTTTCACAGCCAGAAAAGACCGATTTTGTTTATGCTTTATAAAAATCAGAGTACCTCTTTTAATAAAAATGTTGCGGAATTTGTTCCCAGTAAAACATGATAAATACGGTATCAGGGCATTTCCGAAGAAAAATATTTTTATTCAATTTAAAACATTTTGGATGTCATCGTCAATACATAAACATAAGCATAAACAGAACTTACATCCATTATCACTAGTGATTTATATCTCCTTAATCTCTTAGTGTAACTTCATATCAACACATGTGATATAAACAAACTGAGTGGATCAGGTTGGGAAACCTGGTGAGTACATAGGGTTTTCAACCCACAATAATATAATTATTATGTTTAGACATCAAACAATCAACCCAATTACCCATCCCCATTATATTCCTTATTCTTAAGGTTCTACCCTAAGAGTCATCTATCCTACATTCGTTCATTTTGACGTCCCTTGCTTCCAGGGTTTATAAGAAAGACGCTAATTCCATAGTTGTCAATGCACTAAATCCATAGCTGCTGAAGTTCATTTATCAGGTACTAACTCCATACTTACCAGGTACTAAGTCTATAGCTACCATCACCTGACAGGTACTAAGTCCATAGCTACCAATGTTTGTCCAATAGGCACTAAGTCCATAGTTGTCGATGTTATTTATTAGGCACTAAGTCTATAGCTGCCAATTTTTACTCACATCATCTTTCATCTCTCATCATTCATCTACCCATGTCATACCCAACATATTTGTAGATATAAAATACGTATATAGTTTAAATCATTTAAAACATGTATAAAAATGTTCATCCAGCATAGACAACAAGTATTCAGGTAATATGCACACATAGCACGTAGTTTATATAAAATACTTCATATATATGTGTAAGATGAAAGTAACTATGTACTCACTTGAAAAGGTGGTGATTTTGCCCTCGAATAGCGCTTCGTCATCTCAAAACAATTATCCCTTGCTAAAACCTAGTATCAATACCACTAGGATTTAGTCCAACGTTAACCGTGACTAATTAATAGTCTAGTTGTTATTATTATTATTATTATTATTATTATATAAGTGTTAAACAACACTCTATATAACTCATAATAATAGTCCAAATAATTATTTTAAGGTCCTAATAATGTTACTATAATTAATTAGAAGCTATATTAAAAATTGTGTAGGCGTAGCTCACTTACAACGGGTTTTAAAGAAAACCGGGTTTTGCTTGGAGCAGGGTTTCGCAACCGAAAGACCCTTTTTCTCTGGACTCGGGGAGCCTCGGGGCTTCCTTCGGGTGCTAGAGGGTTCACCTAGGATTTAGGGGGCGTTAGAAACCCTAGAAAGAGAAAGATTGTAGAGAGAGAAGTGGAATTGGTGTGAAAAATCCGAGAGGCTTCGCCTCCTTTTTATAGCCTCCCAGTTTCGGTTACGCTGGGCGTCGGACTCAGCTACGTTGGGCGTAGTTGCGGATAAGGGAGCCAGCGAGCCTCCAGCTGTCTCGCACTCGGAAGGGGTAACAACCAAAGTATGGTGCGCGTACTTGGCCTCGGACGCACGGCGTAGCAAGGGGCGATGTTTCCTCCTCCGATGCGACCCTCCGATCAGTGATGGACGGCCCTGATGGTGCCACGTCATCATCTTTGCTCCAGCTTCACAATTTCACATCCCGACTTCTAAAAATCATAACTTTTGTATACGAGCTCTGTTTTCAATGTTCTTTATATCCACGCGTAGGCGGGAACGTACTCTACAACTTTCATTTAGACTCCGTCGGCTAATTTTGACATTTTTTTAAAAGTTATATTATTAACAGGCCGGGACAAGATTGGTCCGTTAAAAATTCATAACTTCTTCATCCGACGTCCGTTTTCGTCCATATTTTTCTCGTTACGCTACTATTAATGAGATATTCGATTCTCGTTTAGTTGTGTCGGCTAAAAATCGTTCGATCTACTATTCGAATTTCGGGTTGTACATTGCTAAGCCGAAACTTCGAAAAATCATAACTTTCTCATACGAAGTCAGATTTGGGCGTTCTTTTTATGGACTCTCTCGATTTAACGTATTCTATGACTTTCACTTAGTTCGCTAAGGCCAAAACTCGCTCTATTGTAAATTCACTATTTACGCTTCTCTGTATTGTGTCGATTCCGTCGCGAAACTTCGACGGGTCATAACTTCTTCGTTATAACTCGGATTTCGGCGTTCTTTATATGTACGGAAACCTTGTAACATATAATACAACTTGGTTAAGATTATTTATTTTAAATAATATTTTGCCAAAAATTTATTTTCGACACTTATTGCATCTAAATTAACTAGCCCGGATCTACGGGCGTTACAGTACATGTGTCAAAATCCTAAATAGAAAAACAAAAAGACTCAAATTTGATAGACACATTGTTATGAGTAGAGAATTTGCGAACCGAAATAAAAAATTTCCCATTTGATTTTAAATAAGGTTTTGTTTAAAAAAAAGATTTTTTAAAAATAGAAAAAATGAGCTGCCAACATAGTTAACTAGGAGTAAGGAAACATTACCAACCATGATATATATTTTGATTTACATGGTATGATGAAAAACTTGTTACCTTGCTTGAAGGAAATATGTAAACATGCTCTAGAATCCATGTAGGAAAATAGCATCTTGAGGTTGTTGAATACACATAGCTTAGAAAATTGAGGTGAGTTTAGGGAATGGTCCTTCTTAGGCTATAGTGTCACCACTAAAATCAATATTTGGAAGCTAAAGAGATGCAAAGTATGGCTGCAAATGAGATGATCCATGGATCAAAAGCTAAAAGGTTTGGATCGACGCTCAAAAGCCAGCAAAGTGGGCGATTGATGGCTATTGTTGAAGCATAAATTTGTCACTAGCAAGCTATTTTTGGACCTATATGTAACACCAGCAAAAATTAGGTCAAAAATAAATTTGTTCAACAACCATAATTGGGATGTATTTAGTGGTAGATATCATAACAAGGTTTCCAAAAATATAAGAAACACTAAAATTCGAGTTATAACGAAAAAGTTATGACCAATCGTAGATCCGCAACAAAACTGGTAAAACACTGTTAAGCCTAAAACGCAAAGTTTTAATAAAATACTTTTTAACCTTGGGTATCTAAATGAAAGTCGTAGATATCATTAAACCGTAAACAAAAATAAAAACAACGTCCAAATTTGACTTCGTAAGATGAAGTTATGATTTTTCGAAGTTTCGGATATATCAGTAGACAGCTAAAATCTCAAAATAGAGATTGAGCGACTTTTAGCCGATGCAACCTAAATGAGAATCGAAGATCTCGTCGATAGTAGTCCAACGGTGAAAAGACAGAAAAAAACGGATATCAGACGAAGGAGTTATGATTTTCTAACGGAGTTTTCCTATCATGGCCTACTAAAAATAATATAATAAAATATAATAAAAATAAAGTCAAAATTTGCCAAAAAAAAGTCTAAACTCGAGTTGTAGAGCATAATCTCACCTACAAGTCGATATAAAGAACGTCGAAAATGGAGTGCGTATGTGAAAGTTATGAATTTCTGCGCGAAACCCCAAAACTGTTAGAGACCACGACGTGAAAATAGTTTTCACGACGTGAAATGTCTTCTGACGCCTCCTGGAGTCTGCCAGACCCAACTTTCGATGACGCATGCAGTGACGATCAAGCCCACGACATGAAAATACTGTTCGTGACGTGAAAATCGAGAAATCAGCCTTATAAATATATTTAAAGGGGCAGCCGATCAAGGTTGCTAATTTACGCTTCTCTCACCAATATTATCTCGATTTACATGCAAAGAAGTACCCTCGAAGCCCCAGTATCATCCTGAGACTACCCCGAAGCCCCAGTAACACCCCTAACACACGACGCAAGTCTCGCCGCCCCGAATCTCCTGAGATTTCTGAGAAATTGAATCCTTTCCGGTCGAAGTGCTGCCCGAACAAAGCATTGTTTTCACTGAATCTACACTACTACCAAGTGAGTTCATATCCCTAGTAATACAGTTTAAATACGTTTTTAACTGCTTTTAAATACTTTTAGGGGGAATACAAGTAAACACACAGTCAAAATCATGTGAAAAACATCAATCTTTTGCTATACTTTTCAGTATATAATCAATCATATGTGATTTATAACTATCATACGAAAACATTAACATGCAAAACATCTCACGATACCAATTTTCCAGTACTAGAAAAACAGTCTTTTACGACGCTCATTGCGTGTCGTACAAGGCTCAGACGACGCGCAAATGCGCGTCAAGGAAGGCTCTGTCATAAAGAGAGACGACGCGCTTTTGCGCGTCTTCTATAGACGACGTGCATTTACGACGCTCATTTACGACACACAATTACGACGCGCGTTTCCGACACACAATGCGTATCAAGGAAGGCCCTGTCATAAAGGAAGACGACACGCATTCGCGTATCGTAACCTTACGACGCGCGTGTTAATGACACACAATGCGTATCAAGAAAGCCCCTGTCAAAAAAAGCCATGTCATAAACGAAGATGACACACATTTTTGCGTATCATAATTTTAAATGTTTAAAAAAAAGTATTATTTATGGATTTACTAATTTTCAAATTAAATAATACATTAAAAATCTCACAATACAAAATAAAATACCATAAATAACAAAAATAATTCATTTCACTAATATGTCAAATATGAATAATTATTCCAATAGTGAGTAAATGTTATAAAAAATGAACTCATTTATATACAATGCATTATCTAGCTTACTATGTGCCAACAACTCTGTGTGTGTTACTTTTGCTTGAGTCTCATTTCCTCCAAAGCTTCTAGCCATGACAAAATATGATATCTTAAATTCATCAAGTCCTTGGTGTGAAGTCTTAGATAGAAGCTTAACTACAATCTCCAATCCTTCTAGCAGACCCTAAAGATCATTATTGGCCATGTAGTAGGATCAACCTGCAATCTCTTTTCTGCCTTCTTAAGTCATTTGGTGTATCTCCAAAGTCACCTCCATATGCCCAGTATTTGCTACCATTTGCATTTTCCTTGAGTAACCCCTAAAACCAGATGCAAATATTTAGAATTACCCTTACACCACATTTACAATTTTATAAATTTTAAGAGATGAGTTTCAAACCTGGTCAACCTAATCCCAAATAAACATGGTCAACCCAATCCCAAACAAACCCTCCTTGCCTACTTAGACATGATTCACAGTCGATAATGTTGCATGATGCATCTTTCAAGGTGACAACTAATGTATACAGATTTGGCTGCATGCAACATAATCCAATGTTATTAGATGAAGAGGTGAAAAGAAAAGTAATTTGTTTGATTAAAAGACAAGATTTCTCACTTGCTCTGCAGACCAAAGCTTGGGATTTTTTAGTTTTCCTTCTAATCGATACCCATGAAACCCTAAAGGAAAATGAGGGGGTTGCTGAAGCTCCAAACTGGCCACATTAGTTGATAGCAAATTGGAACCCTCATTGGTATTGATATCAAACAGTGTGGCTTCAATTTTGGCATCTGTAATGTCATTGATCTTCATAGAATTATCAAGTATTAATTCAACCTAGTGTATAAAAACAAAAGAATTCCACCATTATACAACTCTTCTTACTTTAAAAGATCACGAAATTATTGAAGGCGAAAAATCAGTTGTGAAGATCTTAATTACTGTTAGGCGTGTCAGACCCAACAACTAAAAGGGGTACAATAGACTCCAAATACACTGCTTTAATGCACTAAAAAGTAGTACAAGGCAAGCAGGGTCGAACCACAGAGACACGGGACAAAAGTCTATACCTTTTTGCACAAGGTACTTTGGTCACAAAGAGGGGGTTTGTTTGCAAAAGTAAATAACTAAATAACAATCTACTTTAAAAGCATGCACAAAATGAAATAGATTTGTAAACAAATTGATTGAATGGTTCTAGTTCTAGTTCTCAATGTTGTTGTTCAACTTGATTATGACTTGATCTAATTCAAGATTGCTATTCTATGTTGGTACTGAAAGATATTAACACGCTCTAATAACTCTCGCTTGCCAAATTATCTAACCAAAACACGCTCTTTGATTAGACCTAGCTTTACTAATTCAACCTAAACACGCTCTTAGATTGTATTGAAAAACTGCATTAAGTTTTGTACAAGCTTCCCAACAATGTTCATTTCTTCTCATACGCTCAGAAGTGTGAAAACATGTGATATATGTTTTACAATAAGAAAACTTATTGCTTGTTACCAATTATTAACTCAATAGAACGATTACGTGCCCTAAAAGTTAATTAACTGCACAAAAATTCAATTCATGAAAGTGGCCAATCAAACACAAATCAAATTCAAGGATTCTAGTTTAAACAAAAACATAATCACTAGAATAGAATCACAAATCAAACATCAAATCATATGCTTCAAGTCAAGCAATCAACATGTTTTGAACAAGAACTAGAAACTAGGGTTTCTTAGCCACACATGGCTAAGAACAAATCAAACAAGAATAAAGATGGAATTGGGGATGTTTAATCCTTACAAAAATGAAATCCAAATGTTTGCAATGATTAAGTCTTCTCAAAAGCTCCAAGAATTCTCCCAAAATTGCCCTAGATCGCCAGAAACTACTCCCAAAACCGTTCTTCCCTTCAAAATGACGTCTCCTGCTCTTTTATTAAAGTTCATGTGACATGCCATGAGGCCATGCGTTTTTAGCATGGCCATGCCTTTTGCCCATGTGTTTTTTTTTGGCATGGCCATTTGTCTTGACCATGTGTTTTTTTTTTTTTTTTTTTTTGTGAGACCATGCATTTTTCTTTCTGTGAACATCAAAAGCTCGTTTTTATTTTGTAACCTCACAAAAACGTTTTTTTTTTTTTTTTAACACATGACTCCCTCTCAATTTTTTTTTTTTTTTTTTTTTTTTTTTGCATTAAACTCTAAAAAGACTTAAAAACATTGCAACACAACAAAATAAAATAAATAAATAAATAAAAGAATGGAAAGAAAATACTCCCCGAGTTGCCTCTCGGTTAGCCGCCCTTGTTTCAAGTCTTTGGCTCGACTTGGCCCTTAGAATATGTTATTCTTTGAATGTTGGGGCTTTCCAACTCAATGAAATTTTCGCCACTTCCTTCAATGGAACACGTATCTTGTACTTGACCTTCTTTTTGCGTGGGAACCATGTTGGACTTAGACCCTTAATGACAACAATCATCCAGCCGACCCCTTTCTTGTACTTGTCCAGTAAGGTGGTCAAATCTTCCTTCTTTGATAAGGTGGTCGATTTGATGATCGGTTGGGAGTCTTCCTTCTCGAGGTACATATCCCTTGAAGGGTCCAACAAATGTATCGTTTTCGGCTCTTGTGGTTGGTCTACTGGCGAAAGGAGTTTCTCATTGGTAATGGGTGGATCAGCCTCTTTTTTGTCAACCTCCAACTCCTCCTCTACAACTTCCATGTCATCATTCTTAATTTCTACTTCTTCCTCGACAACCTTTTCCATTTTTACTTCTTCCTCCTCTTCCCCATCTTCAAATTGCAATGTTGGGTCATCAAAAATTTTCCCATCGTTCAAGGTGATGGCAGAAACGGTATGCCTTGGGTCCTCTTCAGTCTGTGATGGTAATTTTCGTTGAGTTTCCAATATACTCACAGATTGGGCAAGTTGTGCAATTTGTTCCTCTAAGCTTTTGAGGCTAGCTTTGGTTGTTTCCTGGAAGATTTGGGTAGTAGTGGCAATGCTTTTCACAATGTCTTCCAAGGACATTGTGACATCCCCAAAATCTCGGCCAGAAAAGACCGATTTCATTTATGCTTTTTAAAATAATTTTCAGAGTAAATCCTTTTAATTTTAAAAGAGATGCGGAATTTGTTCCCAAAAACAAAACATGATAAAATAGATATTTATCAAAACATTTCATAAAGAAATATGATTTCATTTCATAATCAAAAGACGGGATGTCATGTTCCGATACACATCATAAAGCATAAACGATAGCATTACAAGTCATTCAACAAATATATACATATACAGACTTGTAAACAAAACAACTTGATGTTCGCCCATCTTAAGCTCTTGCGCCACTTCCTGTAAAATAAATCAACTGAGTGGGTCAGGCTTGGGAGCCTGGTGAGCATATAGGGTTTTCAACCCACAATAATTATATTTAATTTCAACAATCAACAATAAACCCGATTACCCATTCCCGTTATCCTCACCTTACGTTCCTAAAAATAACGTCTATTATAAGGAACCTATTTCAGGATTTTTCATCGGGACGGACATCACTACAGAGGGGCTTCCTCAACATTAAGTGTCCTAAAGGCAACCATGTGGGGGATAGAGTACACCGGTGAACACGTCGTTCACAACACCTACTGGTAATGAGCCTGCAAGTGTTCCACAGGACAGTCTAGAATAGTCCGTGGTCGTCATCCATACTCTGCTGAATGACTAGAATAACACCAATAACACCGAGGTCTCTCATCTGTTTATTACACACCAATTATCTACCCATGTTCTACCCAACATATTAGTAGATAAAAATATACATTTTTATACATAGTTTAAAAACATGTATAACATGCTTTAAGCAATACATATTCCACATAACAGATGAGGCATACACACATAACACGTATTTCATAGAGAATACATCAGATCTGTAAGATAGAAGAGAGTGAATATACACTCACACGTATAACAACCAAATATATACACATAACACGTATTTTATAGAAAATACTTCATAATATTGCGTTGGAATGAAAATAACTACACACTCACTTGATCAGAAGATGATCGGGCAGCACTACGACTTGCAGAAGAGGTGTTTCTTCGTAGATCTGGAAGATCTTCACAAAACCGGGCTCCTTGCGGGCAGCGTTTCGGCTCGGGAATAACACTCTTCGGGATCCTCGGGGCTTCGGATCTTACTTTGGGGCTCGGGAATGATACCGGGGCTTTGGGGTATAAACGGCATTGTAAAACGAGGCAAAACTTAGAGAGAGGGAAGAGTTTGAACAAGAGAAAATGGCTGAATTCGAGTTCTATTTATAGGCTGCTGGGTCTGGGATTACGCGGGGGTACTCGGGTTACGCGGGGCGTACTTTGACGTCACTGCGTGCGTCGACTGGTGGCACTCGAGTATTGGTCAGACAAGTTGCATCCGACTGAGTACGCGGGGCGTACTCAAATTACGAGGGGCGTAATTGACTTGTCAAACTTCTAAATTGCGTAACTTTCGCATACGAGCTCCGTTTTCGACGTTCTTTATATCCACGCGAAGGTCAGACCATACTCTACAACTTTCATTTAGACTCCGTCGGCTAATTTTGACTTTTATTTTTATTATTTATTTTTAGAAGGCCGGGACAGAAAAACTTCGTTATAAATTCATAACTTCTTCGTCTGACGTCCGTTCTCGCCTAACTTTTCATCGTTTCGCTATAACAACAAGATCTTCATCTCATTTAGATTGTTTCGGCTAAAAACCGCTCGATCTCAAATCGAGTATTCGGGCTGCATACTGCTAAGTCGAAACTTCAGAAAATCATAACTTCCTCATACGAAGTCAGATTTGGGCGTTCCTTTTATGCACGCTCTCGGTTTAACGAAATCTATGACTTTCGTTTAGATCGCTAAGGCTAAATATCGCTCTATCCTAAATTCATATCTTACGTCACTCGTCGTCGTGCCGGTTCTGTCATAACTTCTTCGTTATAACTCGGATTTTGGCATTCCTTATATCTCCGGAATCCTTGTTTCAACCACTACAACTTTATGCAAAGATATCGGGCTTATCTCACACTTTAATTTTGACGCTTATTTTATTCTTAATTCATTAAATTATAATAATTAAGAAAATAAACACATAAATCACATAATTCACAAATAATACATTTTTATTATTTCAAATTGGGGTTACAAAGGTTAACCTAGACTATTACATTGCTAAAAATGGCAAGCCTAGAAACACGGGCGTTACAATTCTCTCCACCTTAGAATGATTCCGTCCCCGGAATCACACACCAGCAAACAAATGCGGATAGCGACTCATCATGTCACTCTCCGTCTCCCAGGTGAGATTTGGCCCATTCGTGTGTTTCCATCGGACAAGCACTAACTCCACCATCTTACGTCGCAATTTCTTAGTCTTTCGGTCAACAATTGCCTCCGGTTCCTCAATCAACCTTTTGTTCTCATCGATTCTCAACTCTGAAAGTGGAATTATGTCGGGAACTTCCCCGTGAACTTCCTCAAATAACACACATGGAAAGTGTTATGAATTCCATTAGTTCTTCTGGTAGTTCGAGCTTGTAAGCTTGGTTCCCAATCCTCTGAAGAACTTTAAACGGTCCAATAAACCTTGGACTTAACTTTCCCCTTTTTCCAAATCTTATAAGTCCCTTCCACGGCGAGACTTTAAGCAAAACCGAATCTCCAACTTCAAAAGTCATCGGTCTTCGCTTTTTGTCAGCATAACTCTTTTGACGATCCTGAGCTGCTAACATTCTCTCCCTAATTATTTTCAACTTTTCAGCAGTTTGATG